ATAGATAGTAAATGGGGAAGCGAATACTTGGACAAGTCACCAGCCCAGCGTCAAATGGTCAGCAAATGATTTTTCTGGCTTCAAACTTAGGTAGCTTCATCTCAGAGCCTGAGCTTTTTGCGGGATGTGTAGGTATAGACATAAGTACAGGGTCCATCAAAGGCCCCGGGAAACCGTGAGATTGATGGAGATTGATGTAGCCCAGCAGTTTCAGGCCTTTGGTCTCAAGACCCCTTTTTACTCTTAACAACTATTGAGTGATGCCCAAATGGCTTTTGTTAATGTGGATTGTTTTATTGTTATTTACCATATTAAAAGTAAAACAAAATTTAAAAATACTCATTTAAAACCCATTACATATTAACACAACATTTTTATGAACAGTATCTATATTCCTAAACCAAAAAGCTACTGGTGAGAAGAGTCGCATCCTTTTTCAGTTTTGCAAATCTCTTTGCTGTCTGCCTTAGTAGAAGACAACTAGATTCTATGTCTGCTTCTGCACCAGCGTCTGCAGTATATAGATTTGGTTGGCGTATATGAAGAAAATCAATCTTGGACAAATACGCAGTTGGAAAATGGAGGAGCCTTTGTAGATGGTGTTATTCTTTGATACTACACCCAGACTCATCCAGTGGTCGTTTCTTAAAGGTCAGTTGTTAATGGGAGTCTGACCCTCCATGGTTCATGGAGAACCTCATGGGTGAACGTTTCGTACTCCATTACATTAAAGTCCATCAGTTTGCCTTCCACTTTGAGTGGATCTCTTACCCATGCACAATTTTGTAACATCTTGTATTGATCATTTGAAAATAATGGTTTGCTGAGTTCTGTACCTCTTCCCGTTGTCGGCTCCTTTCCTTATACAGTATCAAAGGATCCCGTAGCTCCTCTCCTCTGACCTCATCAGAAAAGTCTTTAAGTGTTGAGAGGCTGTCAAACTCATGATGGCAGATAAAGGTTTTCCAAAATTGTAATTTTGGCCTGAAATTGTGAATGCTATCAGTGGCAGTTTTGCAAAAACTGTTAGTTATTTTCCTTGACAGGCTCCCTTTATTCATTTTTGAGAAAATGACTGACAAATAACTGCAGCAGTCCTTCTTTCAAATAGACATATCATTCCATAAAAAAGTATAGCCAGCTTGCAACTTAAACAGTTACAACAGGGCTTTTCCCTGGAAACAGCCATTGGATTTTGGTATGCAGAAGAAGACATTTAACACTTGGTACTGCTTCATTCCACCCTTAAATGTAACTGGCTTTTTTTTTTAACTGCTAATAACTGGTGATGAAGAATACAATAATTATTAGTATGGTTTGGTGCCACTGCACTGATTTCTGTTAAGGCAACTACAGTTTTGCCCACCTTTTGTTGCTGTTGTTTAAAAACATAATAGTTTTATTGAGATGTAATTAACATACTGTAAAATTTGCCCATTTAAAGTGTACAATTGAATAGTTTTTAATATATGCACAGTGTTGGGCAACTATCATCACAATCAACTTTAAAACATTGTCATCACCTTCCCCCTGAACACCTTTATACCCATTAGCAGTCATTCTCATTTTCCTGAAACCTTCCCCACCTCTGGCCACCATTGAGCTGCTTTCTGTCTCTCTGTATGGATCTGTTTGAGTCATTCCATATGAATGGAATCATATGGTATGTGACCTTTTGTCATTAGCTTCTGTTCGTTTACCATAATGTCTCCAACATTCATCTAAGCTGGAGCATGAATCAGTACTTAGTTCCTTTTTATGGATGGATAATACCCCATTATGTTTATATAAATACCAGTTGATGAACCTTTGGATTTTTCCCCACAATTTTTAAGTATTGTTAAAAATTCTGTTTTGAACATTTGTATAGAAGGTTTTGTGTGAACATATTTTTCATTTCTCTTGTACATACCTGGGAGTGGAATTGCTGAGTTGTCTTGTAACTCTGTTTCACCTTTTGAGGAACTTCCAGCCTGTCTTCCAAAGCAGCTGCACCATTTTCCATTGCCACCAGCAGTGTGTGAGGGTTCTGATTTCTCCGTGTCCTCACCAACACCCCCCCTTAGCTGTCTTTCTGAGGATGCCATCCTAGTGGATGTGAGTGAAGGTGTTGTCTTGTGGCAGTTTTGATTAGCATTTCCCTGACTGCTAATCCACCTTTGGTCTTGCACCATTATTGAAATATCACTGCAGTGAGAAAGGCAAATTACTGTCTTAGTATAATTATGGAAATAGTTTTGACTCACAGGATCCCCTGAAAGGGTCTCTGGGTCCCACAAGGGTCCTACAAGTCACTCATTAACCTAGTAGAAAATGTCGAATGTGTTTTCAGTATTGTATTTCTCCTGGCTCGGTCAGGGCATTAGCAACATTTCTTTTTCTCATGAAATGGATGCTGGGAGGCAGCTGGGGTCAAGTGGGAGAGGCTGCCATGAGTCTGCTCAGGCCAGCTGTTGGGCTGTGTGGAAGCCCTTCTTGGTACTCTGTCTGCAGGGTGCACAAGAGGCAAGAGGAGGTCTTGCCACAGTCGGATCACATGGTAACCTGAGATGGTTCTTTTGAACTTGCAGTAATAAGGTTTCCCAAATCTCTACATAGGAACGTCTGTTATCCCCAGTCTACAGGTGAGAAAACTGAGGGTTAAATAACTTGTCCAGTTACAGACAACAGGGCTAGGCATTGACCTCCTAGAATACGGTGTTACTAAAGGGGACAAACCCATAGGATACAATTTTTATTAACTGAACAAAGAGAAAGTAATTTTAGAACTGGTACTTTTTCGTGGTAGTAACAAAGCATGGAGGAGTATGGGATATTTGAGATTAAAAAAAAAAATGCGACAACTTCCTGTGCTGTGTTTCAGTAAAGGAGCTGTGTTCGCTGCTTTAGGAAATTGGTGAACGGTCAAGAATTGCCTGGATTCATGTTTCTTAGCTTGATTTTCGATCACATTGAAGTATGACTTCTTACGGATGTTGCTTTTAATTTGTCTTGAAAGCAAGCACAGATTCTGCCAGCTTGGGCATGATTGATGGTTTCTGACAATATGTCATTACTTACACTTAGCATAAATGCCAGCCATTTGAGGCTCTCCATTTTCTGTGTAACTGAGAGTATCCAGTAGAACCACACACAACACGGGATCATATACCTTATTTTGATGTGGCATGACGTGTACTTCAGTATTGAAATTTTGTTTAGAATATGTAATCACTGGCACTGAACGTTACTGTAGCAATCAACGTTCACATCCAGTCTAGATATGGAAAATGTAAATCTCTCTGTGGTACCATACCCCAAGTAATAACAAGTGGACTGAAGCAGTAAATCTAAGCAATTGAATCAGAAAGGAGGAAATTTGGAGGAATATTTTACCGTTGGACAATATGGGAGGGCTTTCTAAGCATAAACGCAAAGAGAGAAACTTTAAAAAATGGGTTACAGATTTAGCACCACAGCAGATGCAAAATCAAACGACAGATAAGAGGAAAGTGTTTGCAGCCTGTGAGGCATGAGCGTAATTTAAAGGATCCTTCCAAATCAAGGTGAGAGACAGTGTTGAAGGAACTGTAGATAGAAGTCTGGAGGAGGCATCCTCAAAAGAGAGATGTCCTTTTTCAGCTGTCTGAAGGGCCAGTAAAAGTGGGTGAGTTTGATTTGTCCTTCTTCAAGCCAGCAGGAAGAGATTTCAACTTGAAGGAGGAAGAATCTTCTCTTCACAGCTACCTGGTCAGGTAGTGACTTCTGCCAGTCCCTTCTGGGGTGGGGAGGGTGTGGAGTGGAGGTGCCTGATGGACAGGTAGACACAATGACCTGTTCAAGCTTCATCTGTGACGAAATGCACAGGAGCGTTTTTAAAATGACAGCTACAAGGGCTTACTATAGCTTCCCCTTAGCATTCTGCCTGGAGCTTGTGAGGTGGAGCAGACCAGGCACCAGGCACGGGTGTCCTTCCTCCCTCCCTGAAGAAGTAGGTCTGCTGGGATGGTTTGAGGGGAGTGGGGGGCCCTGTGGGTGCAAGGGGAACAGATGTGAAAGGCTCCTTGATTCCATGGATGAGCCAGACCTGAGGAGTCTGTCCACGTTTGCAAGTCCCAGCTGTAAAGCAGAGGAGAAAACTCACGACGGCACTGTAATTGAAGCTTACTGTAGAAACCCTGAGCATCACCCTTCTCTTTTGAACTCCGTAAGTGAGTGGAATCCCACAGACACTTTGCACATTGGCACCAAGAACCACCTGGGCGTTGGGGAGGGGAGGAGGCTTGGACGCCAGACCTACCTGGGTGTGCTGGTGATGGCCTGGGCGAGGCGCTCACCTTCTCCACACCTCTGGGCTTCATCTGTAAAATGGGCATGACAACAATGTCCTCTCCCTTTGGATTCAGAGGCTGAGTGCACCTCAGAGCTTTAGCGTGGTTCACCTAATTCATGGTAAGCACTTAATACGTGTTAGCTGTTACTGCTCTTCTGACTTCTGGAATAGGAAAAGGGTCTGGCTCAGTGCTACCATGTCTCTTTCTCCTTCATCTGTGGTCACTGATGGGTCAGGTAAAACAGTTGTGTGCCTGACCCATAACTGTCAGCACATCTGCAGCCTCAAAATGTGTAACTGTTAAATCTGAGAATATATTATTTCAGGTCCCCTCTATCTTTATACACAAGGTACTCTTGTTCTTGGTATGTGACTATTTGTATTAGTTTTTTCATTTTCATTTCTTTTTGTTTAAAGTGTGATGTTGATATTCTAAGGGCTGCTGGGGTTTTTTAGTAGGGACTTAGAAACATAAATTTTTGTGGTCTCTAGGTGTTTAGGATTATTCTGTACTTTGCGTTTTGGTGGTGGTTGTGTTTTGACTTGGGGTTGCTCTTGAGAGTGGATGAGACTTGATAGTCTTCCAGAATGTTTTCCTTTTGTGTCTCTTTTTGACTTCAGGATGTTTAGGTTACATGGCCTCATAATCAGTGTAGTGACTTCATTCTTCCTTTCTCTTCCTTTCCAGTTTTCAATGGTTCCAGCAGGTCATCACGGGAGAAAGAACCTGTTCAAAAACACAAAAGCAAAGAGGCCACTCCCGGCAAGGAGAAGCACAGCGATCACCGGGCTGACAGCCGGAGGGAGCAGGCTTCAGCGACCCATCCCCCAGCGGCCCCCTCCCCGGGTTCCTCGGCCAAGGGGCTCGCTGCTAACCACCACCACCCCCCTCTGCATCGGTCGGCTCAGGACTTACGGAAACAGGTAAAGCCTGGCCGTGCCGCACCTGTGACTGTAGTCTGGCCCAAAGGATGCCTGCCAGATGCTACCTCGTCATTTCACCAAGTTAATTAAAGGGGACATGTGAGTGGTAGCCGCACAAAATCCGTGTTTCGAGGGTTCTAAAAGCAGGAAGTGATGCTCTGAGGCGAGAGCGGGAGAGAGGAAGGTACCTTTGCACAGAGATGCGAGTTTGCACACCTCTCTTCCTGTGAAGATCGATCTGCGTGGGCTGTGGGGGGATTTGCATTCATTCTAGAGGATGCTGCAGGTGCCAAGTGCTGCGATCTGTTGAATCGTGTGTGTCGGGATGTATTAGGAGGGTTGGAAGGGAGTCTGCCTCCTCACTGTGCTTCTTCCACTGCATGCGCCCTGGGCACCAGATGAGTTCCACAGTGCTGGGAGGATTTGGTTGTTTTCTCAGGTTAGGCAGACAGCTGATAAGTTCCACCTTGAAATGGGCCTGCAGACTGCCCAGTGTTGTCAGCAGATGGTCCTGGGCTGTTTATCTGTTCTTCTCAATGTGACAAGTTACCATCTCTCCACTAAGACTTGTGAGCAGAAGACTCACGTGGGTGCACACATCGCTAAGCGGTCTGCATGTGGTGGGCCTCGGGGTGCAGTGGGGCATTTACTCAGCTGAGTGCATCTGCATCCTGCCTATCAGCTGAGGGCAGGTGCACACTGTGCTCAGTGCTCCCACTGCCCCTCATTGCAGTGTCGGGTTAGATAACACAGATCCTGTTGGGGACACTCTTACGAATGGCCTGGGGCTCAGCCCTTGTTGCTGTCACAGTGTTCATGTCCTTGGACAGTGATTTCTCTGGACTCTGAGAGGGAGATCGTAGGGATAAAGACACGTACCTGGGGGCATACAGCGACAGCGGGTCAGGTGGCATTTCATTGACCCCTCATGCTTCTGTTCCTCAGTCCATTTTAAAGTGTGCTAGCTATGGGGATCATATGATAGATGCACTCTCCTCACCAGGAATTTTAACTTAGAGTTAAAGTTTTCCCTGGAATAGACCAGAGGCTGTAATCTTTAAAGACTGATTCAGGGCAAGGTGTGGGTAGACTGAAGAGGTTTCTTGACTGGTAGTATTGTAGAATGGCTAAAAAGATGGTCATTATGGTGTGAAAATAGTGGAATTCCTCCTGTTGTTGAAATGTTCTTTACCATGGTCCTTCTGTGCTTCGTAATGTTTGAAATATTTCTCTCTGAATATGCTACTATGTTAATACACAGAGAGGGAATTGTGTGTACACATACGTATTGCAGGTACCAGTTTCCATTCCAGACCACCACCATAAAGCGAGTCACATGAAGTTTTTGGTTCCCAGTGCATGTAAAAGTTATGTTTACACTATACTGTAGTCTGTCAAGTGTACACTAGCATTGTGTCTAGAAAAATAATGAACATGCCTTAAAATACTTTACCGCTAAAAAATGCTACCCATCATCTGAGCCTTCAGGTGTCATAATCTTTTTGCTGATGGAGGGTCTTGCCTCAATGTTGATGGCTGCTGACTGATCATGGTGGTCGTTGCTGAAGGTTGGGGTGGCTGTGGCAGTTTCTTAAATAAGACAGCAATCAAGTTTGCCGCCTTGATTGACTCTTCCTTTCACAAGTGATTTCTCTGTAGTATGCGATGCTGTTTGATAGCATTTTACCCACAGTAGAACTTTGTTCAAAATTGGAGTCACTACTCTCTGAGCCTGCCACCTCTTTATTAACCAAGTTTATGTAATATTCTAAATTCTTTGTTGTCATTTCAACAATCTTCACAGCATCCTCACCAGGAGTAGGCTCCATCTCAAGAAACCACTCTCTTTGCTCATCCATAAGGAGCAACTCCTCATCATTAAAGTTTTATCATGAGATGACAGGAATTCAGTCACATCTTCAGGCTCCACTTCTAATTCTAGTTCTCTTGCTGTTTATGGCACATCTGTAGTTGCTTCTTCCACTGAAGTCTCGAACACCTCAAAGTCATCCGTGAAGGTTGGAATCGACTTCTTCCAAACTCCTGTTAATGTTGGTATTTTGATCTCTTTCCATGAATCATGAATATTCTTAAATGCCATCTAGAGTGGTGAATCCTTTCTAGAAGGTTTTCAATTTACTTTGCCCAGAGCCATCAGAAGAATCACTATCGTATGGCTGTTACAGCTTTATGAAATGTATTTCTTAAATAATTAGACTTGAAAGTCAGAATTACTCCTTCATCCATGGGGTGCTGAATAGATGTTGTGTTAGCAGGCATGAAAACATTAATCTCATTGTACATCTCCATCAGAGCTCTTGGGTGACTAGCTGGATCGTCAATGAGCAGTAATATTTTGAAAGGAATCCTTTTTTTCTGAGCAGATCTGTTGGGTTATTTAGTAAACCATGTTGTAAATGGATGGGCTGTCATCCAGGCTTTGTTCCATTTATAGAGCTCAAGCAGAGTAGATTTAGCATAATTCTTAAGGGCCTTAGGATTTTCAGAATGGTAAATGAGCAATGGCTTCAACTTAAAGTCACCAGCTGCATTAGCCCCTAACAAGAGACTCAGCCTGTCGTTTGAAGCCAAGCATTGACTTCTCCTCTCTACCTGTGAAAGTCCTAGATGACATCTTCCAATATAATTCCAGTGTTTTGTCTGCATTGAAAATCTGTCGTTTAGTGTAGCCACCTTCATTAATGATCTTAGCTAGACCGTCTGGAGAACTTGCTGCAGCTTCTACAGCAGCACTTGCTGCTTCACCTTCACTTTGATCTTCTTGAAAGGGCTTCTCTCCTTAAATCTCATGAACCAACCTCTCCTAGCCTCAGACGTTTCTTCTGCAGCTTCCTCCCCACTCTCAGTGTTCATAGAGTTGAAGAGAGTTTGGGCCGTGCTCTGGATTAGGTTTGTCTTAAGGGAACGTTGTGGTTGGTGAGATCTTCTATCCAGACCACCAAAACTTTCTTCACATCACCAGTTAGGCTGTTTCACTTTGTTATCATTTGTGTGTTCACTGGAGTAGCACTTTTAATTTCCTTCATGAACTTTCCCCTTGCATTCACAACTTGGCTGTTTGGCGCAAGAGGCCTAGTTTTTGGCCTGTCTCAGCCTTCCCCATGCCTTCCTCACTAAGCTTAATCATTTCTAGCTTTTGATTTAAAGTGACAGACGTGCAGCTCTTCTTTTTCACTTGAACACTTAGAAGCCATTGTACGGTTATCAATTGGCGTAATTTCAGTATTACTGTGCTTATAATAAGGAGGCTGGAGGAGAGGGAGAAAGATGGGAGAAGGGCTGCTCAGTGGAGCAGTCAGAACACACACAACATTTATCGATTAACTTCACTGTCTTATGGCTGTGGCTTGTGGCACCCCGAAACAATTAGAACAGTTAGTAACATCAAAGATGACTAATCACATATCACCATTACAGATGTAATAATATTGAAAAAGGTGGAAATATTGGGAGAATTACCAAAATGTGACACAGAGACACAAAGTTAGCAAATGCTGTTGGAAAAATGGTGATGATAGTCTTGCTTGATGCAGGGCTGTCAGAAACCTTCAGTTTGTAAAACATGCAATATTTGTGAAGCACAATGAAGTGAAGCACGATAAAATGAGGTGGGCCTGAGTGGTTGGATGAGGTAGAATCCCTCAGCTTTACGTTTTTGCAGGCCTCAGATAGCGACTTCTTCATCCTTTGCAGTGTTATCTTGACATTAGCCAAGTGCTTTTAGCATATTTTAAACATTTTCCACTGTTCCTGAAAGGCAGACCTCACAGTTTTCTTGGCGAGACCAACTGAGCATCATTGTGGAATTGGCCCCTAAGCCTGGGTGCCTGACTTTCAGGACCAAGAGGCACAAAGCGTAGGGAGCACCAGCCCTTTGGTTTCTGTCTGTGATGAATTATTCCCACTCCAGTGTCGGCCTTGTAGGCACTGTGCAGAGTTCTTCTACGGGTGTTTATTCAGAGAATAATTTACAAGGGACCCAGAGGGGGAGAGGACCAATCTGTGGGGCAGCAATGAAGGGCTTGTAAGGGGCCCAGGTAAGGGATGAATATGTGACTCTGTAGTCACACACAAACACACACACCCCTTCTTTTCTCTTTCACTTTCATGTATGAGGCTGGATTGAGTAACCTCTGGTCTCAGTAGGTCACAGGTTATCTTCAGCTCTGAGTACTTACTCTTCAATTCAGAATTCCACTTTGTAACGGAACAAGAGGAATTCTCACAGTGGGAAGTAAGAGTTGAGGGGAGCAGAAGGTACCCCTTGCTCTGGGATCACCCCTGCCCCCTGCTCCATGGCGTGCAGGTGTGGCCTGTCTCACTCACAGGCTTGGAGTTGAAGGGGAGATCCAGGGTGCCCCTTACAGAGCAGACTCTTGTCACATGAGTGAACGCAGGAGCCTGGCTTGCTTGCTTTGTTCAGATTCGCGTCTGCAGGTGGGTGTAACTTGTGCAGGTGTTCAAGGGGTTCCTGCCATCACTCCTTCCTCTGCCCTACTCCTCCCTGCCTGCCCTCCCTTCCCTGTCTCATCAACCCAGGAGGGGTGGCCCAGGGCTCCCCGTTCTGGTTTGGCTCTGACCACAACCTTCACTCAGACTTTGATGTGATGCTTACCCCTCCTGGGCCCTCTTGTTCATCTGGAAACAGTCATGCCAAGCCCTCTCACAGGGATAGTGTGAGAAACAAAAGAGTAATTTTGAGACCATCAAATCCCATTAATTAAGTACAGTTCGCCCTCTGTATTCATGGGTTCTGCATTCATGGGTTTTGCACTTGTGAATATGGAGAGCTGACTAAGGGACTCAAGCATCTGTGGGTTTTAGTATCCGCAGGGGATGCTGGAACCAATCCCCTGTGGATAGCGAGGGACAGCTATACTCTGAAAATAAGGTCCCTAAAAGCAAATTGAAGATTCCTTTCTAACTGCCTGGTGCAAGTGGTTAGAATCTGACCGTTCATCTTTTCAACTACATAGAAG